TTTATAATTTTTTTTTATTACTCTCAAAACTATTTGGTTTTCAAAAATTATAGAAAAATAATCACATGTTTTTAGACGCAAACACTTGATTTTCCACGCGCCGCCAAACCGTTTTCAGCCAAGCACTTGATATCACAGCTCCTTATCAAACCACATCGCCCAGCCAACAGCATGGACGCATGCGCACCACTAGCCCACCCGTTGAAACATTTGCAAACAGAAAACAAATGAACAAATTAATTAATTTTTGAATTATTTAAATATTAGTTTAAAGCTATTTTTTATTAAAAATATGTACATTTTATAAATATTTTATTTTTAAGTTATAAACAAGAAGACTTTTTGAAACTGCTTTGAGTGCATAAAACACACATTTATATTATATTATGAATATTTACAAGATTTGTATGTCGCACTTGCGCGGGAGGCGCGACACTGTACGAATATGTGCCGTAGTCTGTAGTGTAGGTTAATAAATGTCAGCAATAAATGCTAGTTAAAGTATAAAAATGAGAATGGAGTGCAGGCGAGCAACACCAAGTGACTGGTTTAGTAAAGTTAATGTGTGTGTGTGCTAAAGAAAATTGTAAGCAAATTATATTGTAATTATAATTTTTATAAAATTAATTTCGCGTACCTCTGACTTAATTCATAAAGCAATTAGTTACATATTTATTTTGTAAATAAATTAAATAAAAATAACACAACAACAACAACACATGTTTCCAGCATTGCAGCGCGCCGACCTCTGACGTCCAACATACTGTACATTTTCCACATACGCCATGCCTGCGCGCTGTTAACACCACCACACACGCATAGACATTTTTGTATTAAATAAATTCGTAATTTGTAAAACAAAGTAAAAACTACAACAATTAATTTAAGCATTTGTAGCATTAAGTGCGCAAGCGTGAGGAGTGTGAGGGGTGCGCTCAACGCCAACACACTCAGTTGAACATTTAGTCAAAATCACAAAGTAAATTTCAAAATACTAGCCATTAAGTTTAGCGCGTCTTTACTAGGTTTCTTTTGTTAAATTTAATTTTACTTTCGTTTGGCCATGTGCTCGTGCGAGGGCGCGCCAGCGTGGGCCGCTTAGTTAAATGCAAACAGACAAGACTTGTGTTGTTGTAGGGACTTCGACTTATCGCAATTAAGTTTTCAAGTAACGGGTTTTTCGTAACGTAATTAAGCTAAATACATACAAACATACATGCACACTATATTATATATGGAGATGTGTAGATCAGCGCCGTCACGCTTCTTTCAAGAATTAGCCGTTAGTTGAAATGCTAGTTTTTAGCTTTTACATACACTTAGCGCATAATTGTAATATAATTTTTTTACACACACACACGCAGACACATAAGAAATTGGTACAATCTTATTTTTAAGTTAGAAATTTCGCTTTTACTTTACTTTAGTTTCGAGAATATTTTTATTTTTAGCGCTTGTTCATGCAATTTGCTACATTAGTTTGTATTTTAATGATTTTTTAGCGCATTTCATACCTATTTTTGTAGCAGCTAGTAAAATACATACATACACTATACAATTTCATGCATATTAACGGTATACTTTTTAAGCATATTATATAGTTATCTTAATTATTGCGCGTGTGTTCACAACATATACATATGTACATACATACATACATACATACATGTATGTATACATACGTACAACTTACCTTATGCATTTTCATAAACTTAATTACGCAATAATTTGTACATACAACTTAAGTGTCACGCAGGTACATTATACACGTACACACACATGCATATGACATGTTGCGTTCATTTTACATACATACATACATACCTATTAGCATTTTTCCATTATTGTGAAATATATGAAAAACATTTTTAAATAAAAAACACAACGGATTTTTTATTTGCACATTCTTAATTTATTTGCATTAATATTTGTTAATTTTATATTTGAAACATTTTTTTTTAGTATAAATTACATTTAATTATACACCATCATAGCAGATAAGGGTCAAAGTTTCAGACAAACAAAACGAATATTTGATAATTGACTTAGTTATATTAATTGAATTAATTATTAATTTAATTGACTTAATTAAGCGCCGTATAAAACGTGCTGGAGCCTACATTTCGCAAGCGGTGCCTAAAAGTATGCAAGACTTAACGCAAGTAGTGAAATAGCACACATGTGTTGCGCAACATGTATCTGGGAATGCCATTGCTAAAAGTGTACTAGTAAAATAACGTTTCCCACAGCGGATATTCATTTGTATTCGGAACGACTTCAAACGCGCATTATCATCAGTCGGTTTTTAATGACTTCTAGGACATAAAATTAATGATCTCAGTCAAAAAACACGAATAATTTTGAACCCTTGAAGAAATGAAAATTTTAACATTCCCAAATTCTTTAAAAAGTATCTACGTCAAATTGATGTACCGTTATCTTTCCAGTGGTATAAAGAAACGTTAACTTTGTGGAGTCAATTAGCTTTATTTATGGGCAATATAAAATATTTGTGCGTCTCTCTGTCTAATAAACAATACAGATGTTGCTAGAAGTTATTTGAATAATTTTTTGAAAAATCAGGAAATTTGATTTTGAGTCACAAATAAAAACACTGCAATCATAAATCTATGATGTAAATAAGGTTATGGTACTTGGGAGAGTGCTTTTAAAAATAAAATATTTTTAAGGGGCACGCTTAGTGTGACAGCCTAAAAAAACAGACGCTCTATTAACCGGACATCTTCATTAACCGTACACACTGGCCAGCTCTAATATTTTTTATATTTATTAAGGACAATATGTTAAGGGTGCAAAAAGGCTGATTCCGCCAATGTCCGCTTGTGGGAGGTTTCACTGTATTCACACGTGTTTTAAGAATACATAGTGAAATTTAAAAAACGAAAACCATCCCCACTGCTGGAGTGATTCCAGCTTTCTCTGTGAATGAAATCAAAATTATAAAAACTTTCGTAAACTAGAAAATATTCTTTGAAGAATGACTTATTGTAAAAAGAATTGAAAATTTACGGCATTTTTTTTTATTTTTTAAAAATCTCCGGAGATTGGAGATAAAAAAAATCAAAAATTGACAAAATGGTGGCAAGTTGAATTTTACCGCAATTTTTGGTCGTTCTTTTCGATTTTTGGTTAGATCAAAGAATTAACAGGTCATTCTAGAATTGTGTGTGTACAAAACATGCAAGGAAAAATTTTATGATGATCGGCTTATTCGTCTTCCAGTTAATACTGCAGCAAATTCCAACCTACTATTTCGAGGAAAACGTGTTTAAAATATTACTATCAGAGCTGAATGAACTGAGCGGCTACACTTTGACGGGCTGTAACTCAAAAACTATTTGAAATAGCGTTTTGAAATTTTAGTAGGTTATTTTTAAAGCTATAAGTTGTCGAAATGTGAAAACAATAAAAATCAATTTTTTATTTTATGAATAAAAAATAAATATTAATTGATTTTTTCAGAATTTCTCAGTAGGTGTGTCCCTTAATCCATAATATCAAATAATTTTTTTATGTTTTATCAACAATTTCTTGATAACATTTTCAGGATTTTGTGTGATTTAT